GGACAGAGCATCCTCACTTCTTTAGGTCAGCTAGCATGTTCACTTACTCCTGCTCATTCAGACCTACACTCAGGGTTTAAAAATAAAATAGCTATGACATAAGAACTTGATCACAGTCTTCTTGTAAGACCAACATATTGGGGTATGTCAGGGAGTGCACAATGCTACCAAAATATAACAATTAGCTGTCTCATTTTGGCTGGCAAACTCTCATCTTGAAATGTTTGCTATGACAGCTGTTTCAGTAATGTAACAAGATGTATAGCATTATTAAAATGAATATAAGTAGGGGGCTTTCTTTGCCCTTCTGAACATCACGCAATTGCTGACTTAAATTGGCTACATGATGTAGTTACCATGGTGTAATGTCATCAGAATTGCTTTGTGTTCCATCACCAACTGGGAATGAGCATACAGTCAAAAAGGGCAAACAAATGAAGCACAGAGGCAAGAAATAAGCACATCTGGGGTCTTCGGAATCAAAATGCCAGTTCCCCTGAACAGCCTCACCTTAACGCCAAATTCACCCAAAAATGTGTTGCAGCAGTTGCAACAACATTCTGAATCTATCACTGTAAGTGTGTAACCAAGTTGTGCATGGTTTTGAGCAGGGGACATGTTCTTCAAGCAAACTAAGATTGTATCCCTCATTAGGGAAAGCAGGTTTTATTTGTTACTGACTAGGGAGCCAACAGACTTAAAAGATTCTTATCTACTGCCCAATGAACATTTTGATTCTTAAGTATGGAATCATAGGTGTTCACGGTTTAGATTGCCTGAGACCAGTGTGCTCTTATTTATTTAAAACTCTTCTATCTCATCTTTACCTGAAATGGATCCCAAGAGAGCTTACAAACCAGAAGCATAACAACACTTTAAAATACAATATAAAATATACAATAAAGTAATTCCAATTATATAATAAAACAATCAGCCCTTAAAATACTGAGTGAATAAAAAGGTTTTGGCATGGCACCGAAAAGAATAAAGTGTCAGCACCAGATGCACCTCCCTGGGAAGTGGGTCAAAGTTGAGGTACTACCACAGAAAAGACCCTTCTCTAGGTAGCCACCCTTCTAACTTCCTTCAGAGCAGGCTCCTGAAGGAGGACCTCCATGGAAGATATTAGAGTTCAGGCAGGTGTATATGGAAGGAGTGTGAATATGAATAGGATGGTGGGGTATAAGGAAGATCAAGAAAAAGACTAGAAGCAGAGCAAATGTCCCCTTTTCCTGGAACACCCAAGAACCAACTGAACAACACTGCCAAGTCTCGCTGCATGAGTGACACTCACATCAGCACAAAAAGGGAACGAGTCCTGAAGGCATCCTGCCCGTTCTCATCAGCCTAAATGCCCATTAGAAACACCATGCTTGAAGTAGTTGCTGGGAGCACTGGTTCACTATTAGCAGGAATGTGTCTATGGAAACGTAATGGATTCTGGGACTTGGACCCCAGTACTCTTAAAAGGCAAGTCTAATTATCACTGCAGTGCCCTGTCTCCAGCTCATTAAAACATTTCAATTGCATTTCTGGCTTGCTTGGAAGCAGGCTGCAACACCACCGGCTGTCTCCAGATCCCTTCAGACATACATCCTGAATAAAGATTGAAATAAGAGAGGTGTCCCATAGATTGAAGGACAATAGTTTAAAGCCCTGCATGTTCCTATACTACGGTCAGGCCCTCAGAGAAGGCTCCCATGGCTCAAATAGCTTTATTTTTGTAATAGGACAATAAAAGTTTAGTGAAACCTACACCCAAACAAACAAACCCATAAACCCTTCTATTACCTGTTACCTAATAGGCTGTTCCAACAGGGAGACTATCAACAGCTTTCCTAAGGCAGCTGTACCTGGATAACAAGGACACAGCCCTTCTTTTGTGATGACTGCAAAGCTGGGTTGTGCACAATGCACGAAATATTTGTGGTGGGAGAAAACAACAGCTTCCAACTGCTGTTTTGTCTTATAAAAGTCTTCTGAATGCACTGAGTCTCTAAATCACTGCAAGGTTCTACCTAGAACACATGGCTATTGCAAATGTACTCAGAACAGACTTTGTAGTTATTTATTTAAAACTTTTATATGCCATCCCTTATGCATGGCATCTCCAGATGGCTCACAATACTTATGTAGTACTTTACATTATCAAAAAAATGTGCAAAGGTTTCAGTCACATCCTTTCACTCCCACCAGTGCCACAAACACCAGGATCTTATGTCCAAGGTACATTACATCAGATAGCAGCTAGGTTCAGATAGTCACGGGGAAAATAAACCGTGTTGGCACCACCAACATGGAGCACTTGTTAAATATTGTTTAGTGGTGGCTCTTCCTCTGCTGGTTCTTCCCTTGGTCCTCTGGGCTCTTTGGCTACTGTTATTGAGCTGGCTCCTCAGGCTGTATTTCTTTAGGAACAGCTAAATTTTCAGCCTGTTCCTCACCACCATCCTTTCTGGGAAAGCCAGCAAAGGAGGAAGTTGCTTGGCTCTGTGAAGAGGTCTACCAAGTTGAGGGCTGGGGTTGGGGACCATGCTCCTACCTTCACCTGAAGCAGGTGTGAAGAATGTCTCCTAGAGTTCACCTCCCAGACCTTCCAATGGTTGCCCAGTATTAGTGAGTACGTTGTAAGAACTGACAATACTATGCTAATTTTGCTGCTGCCTTCCTCCACAGACAAGTGCCTGGGTGCTGCAGGTGGGGGAGCCTGATGTCTTGAAGGCAGAACTCCATACCTTCTGGCTGTGACCTCACTTCCCTTGGGAAAGGTCTTCAGACCTCTTCCCAAATGGCTCTGCCCTTACCTTTCTGCAGAGCATTTCTGAGTTCATGATTCATGGTTATTAGCCTGGTATCTTTTCTCACAGCAGGAAGGAAATACGTTGGGCTTGTCCTGAAGGAGAAAGATGCTGACAAACTTTCCCCGAAGGGTAGGGGCATGCTGGTTGCAGCAGATATAGGGATGATCTGGATGTATTGCCAGCTCAAATCAGATAACTTTTTGGGACAGCCCAGGATCTGGGGGTCTTGAAATACATGCAGATGGGGCCTTATGTTGCTTGGAGATCCTGGTCACAATGGACTGGTGTTAATATCTATTGGTACTGAACAACTGTCATGTAATTTTACCTAACATTGTGTTAAGGCTTTGTACGATACAAAGTCTCAAATGACTGCAGAAGTTATGTTTTTCAACTTAGGATTTTTTTTCTTCAGGGTGAATCCTTTGGGAAACACTATTGTTGGGGGCTGAACATAAGAAAAGCCACGCTGGATCAGACCAAAGCTCCATCTAGTCCAGCATCCCATACACATGGTGGCAAAACAGCGGCCCGCAGGATTGCTCAAGCAGGGGTGCAAGTCCTTCCCTGGCTCAAGCTCCTCAGCAACTGGTGCGCACAGCAGGCCCCTTCCAGTAAAGGAGGTAGCACAGCCAACAAGGCTGGTAGCCACGGAGAGCCTCATGAACCTGTCCAAAGCTAGTAGCCACTGAGAGTCTCCTTCCTCATGAACCTGCCCAATCCCTTTTTAAATTCATCTAGATTGGTGGCCATCACTACTTCCTATGGCAGCAAAGTCCATTGATCAACAATACATGGTGTGAATAAATATTTTCACTTTTCTGTCCTAAAACTTCCCCCAGGCGGCTTCATGGGATGACACCAGAGTTAAGTGTAATGGAAAACAAAAAATAATGTCTCCTGCTCCATTTTCTCCACACAATGCATCGTTTTAACACCTCTATCATGTTTCCCCTTACTTGCCTTTTTTCTAAGCTGAATAGTCTCAGTTGTTACAGCCACTCCTCATAGGGGAGATGCTCCAACCCCCTGATCATTTTTGTTCCCCTTCTCTGTACTTTTTCCAATTTAATAATGTCCTTCTTCAGGTGAGGCAATCAGAACTGGGCACAATATTCTAAGTGTGGTCCTAGCAAGGATTTGTATAAGGGGAATAAGATCTTGGCAGTTGTTTTCCATATAGTTCCTAATTATGACTAGCATGGAGTTTGCCTTTTTCACAACAACTGCACACTGGGCTGACATGTTTCATTGAGTGATTCACTGCTACCCCAAGATCCCTTTCTTGCTCAGTCACTGCTAGCTAGATCCCATCAGCTTATACTTGTACTTGGGATTTTCTTGCCCCAACATGCATTACTTTACACTTGCTTATACTGGATTGCATTTGTCATTAATGCCCATTCTCCCAGTTTGTTGAACTCCCTTTGGAGCTCATCTTAATTCCTTATATTTTTGACAATCCTAAATAGTTGGGTGTCATCAGCAAACTTGGTCACCTCATTACTTACTCCTAATTCCAGATCGTTTAGGAAAAAGTTGAAAATGTTAATACAGAAACCTATGGGACTCCACTAGCTGTATCTCTCCATTGGGAGAAGTTGTCATTTACTTCCACACTCTGTCTTCTGTTCTTTAACCAATTAGTGATCCATAAGACCTTAGTTTGCTTAGTAGCCTTTGGTGAGGGACTTTGTCAAAAGCTTTTTGGATGCCCAAGTAAACAATGTCTACTGGATTGCTCTCCGTACGTGCTTGTTAACACTCTCAGAGAACTCCAATAAGTTAGTGAAGAGATAAGACTTTACCTTATGGAAGCCATGCATTTTCCTCATCAAGCCATGTCTCTCTATGCACTTATTTATTTATTTATTTATTTATTTAGAAAGCTTCTATGCCACCCCATTCGCTGAAGCCTCAGGGCGACTCACAACAATAAATAACATAACAATATAAAAACAATATAGTTGGAGATGTCCTGGCCAAAGATGTAAAATCAATAAATAGTA